TGACTTTTATTAAGTTTTCTAGATGTTACCTATCATGTATTAACTTCAATATCTAGTTCCTATTTAGTTAAATATTATTGGCTCACAGAATTAATTTGCACGAAATAGTTCATACTGAAAATGGAATTAATCGACGTAGTTCTAAAACTCCAACCTCCCTGATATTGATGTACTGCCTAAAATATATATTATTTAATTAAATATATTGATAGTCCATATAATATACATGGGTGAATACATAATAATAATAAAACAAATTCTTATAGTAGTAAATCACAAAAAAAAAACGGTTTACTTGATACGCACTGATTGATATTTAAAAACTAGTATTCAACTACTATTCTTAATAATTTATGATTCAAAGGAATTTCAATTATTATAAGTTATAACTTATCATGAATGGACGTAAGCTTTTCATACATTGTCTTTTAAAATATTATTCAAATTCAGTGATCTAAATAAATACAGTGTCCTATAAAAACCCACATTTTAAAATCTTTTTAATATAATAAAATAAGTACAAAATTTAAAACAAAAATCTTATTCAAGCATATTTAAAGGTTTCAGTAAGAGAAAATCTAATTAAAAAGGATTTAAAAAATGTGTGGTTTAGTTTAAAAATAACCATTACCGGTATAATCAATCAAACGATAAGTGAGCCTTGATCAAAAGAAAATATTAAACACCATAATAGTGGTGACGCAGAGAAAAGATTTTAATGAATATTTTTTTCTTCTGTAATATTTTGGCAGGAGAAATGTATAATGTTCTCTTCGTCAAATGAAGAAATTAAAAAAAAAATTCTTCAAAATTAATCACTGTTATAAAGGTCGTTAGGTATAGGTAGGTACTTATATAAAATATTTTCTAGTTGATTTGAATAAATAAGTATTATTTCACTGAATACTTAAATTTATTGAACCCATTTACGGTAGTTTCAACATTTATTTCCATGGTATTCGTCGGTATGAAATATTTGTTTTTAAAACTCAATTGAACAGTATTATCTTATTATTCACTAGTAACTAAAGTGTTATATGATATGATGTGAGACTGAGTATAAATATAAAAATAAAACATTATTAAAAATTGAGAATCCATTCAATGTAAACATCAGATAGGTATATTGAAATTTGTTTATAGAGGAATAAATTATTACTTCGGGTTATTTGTTATGACTTATGATTTAGAGAGAATATGAATTATTTATTTATATATTGACTACATACTATGTCTTACGTTTATGTAAATATATTATTCTGCACATTAAAATGAAAACTAAGAGCTTGATAAATTGAAATAATTTATTGATTGTTTTCTCAATGTAAAATGTAATAAATTAAATTAAATATAAAACATTATTCTCCATAGTTAAAGAATCTAATTTTTTTTTAAATTATTAGTAAATTCAATTAACACATTATACGTAAGCTAAACAAACGAATTTAAATACTAGGTAGGTATATTAAGTTTACAATTAATAAAAATAATAAAATTCATTTTCATGGTTGCTATTTTACATATTTCATACTGTGTAAATTATGATATTTTGGATTGTAATGATATGTTAATAAATATTATTGATTATCAATGAAGTATTGGACCTAAAATAAGAAAATAGATTTAGTTTAAATTCTGATGAGTTTTTAAATAATAGGTACAATGAAAAGAAGAATGATCCCGAACACGCAGTAACAATATTTTGTGTAAGGCCAGTAGGAGAGGGAGGAGTAAGTGTTTAATAAAATATAAACCTAATTAGTTTATTATTTTATACTAAAAGAAAAAAAATGTTCCTATAATAATTGTATACACACTTGTCACATACCTCTGCTAAATTTTTGTCATATTCAGTTTTTATTCATGTGAAAGAATGTTCTTTTAAATTTTCGCATAACCCCTTCAAATATTAAGACACAACACATGTGATACTTCATGATGATAACTTTTGAAAATGTACCAAAACAAAAAAACCCTAAACACCCTATCGTTAGTTAACATAATATTTAACCCTCTGTTTCATAATCCTGGGCATAAATGATGATTTTTTTTGCCGTTGTGAAAGCCCGCTTTAACGATAATGACACAGAAAGGAAAAAAAATATTCGTCAACATTGACAACGTTGATGTGTATGCGATTCATAAACGATAGAAAGGTTCGATTTATTGAATTATAACCGATTTTTATAAAAAAAAAATACATAAAAATGTTACAATATTACGTAAACTACTGTGAAATATTTTTGAATAATTTAACGACCGACAGTAAAAAAAAAAATGATGATGATATATATTTTCACAGATCTTTCTCACTGCGCACTTTCGAGTCATACTGACTTTTATGATTATACCTACTCAAATTTAATAAATTATACTTTACGAGCTAAAATTTCAAAGCTAGTGAACTGTGAGTATTGTGGTTTTTAACATTGTTTCCGGTGTTTCAGATATATAGCTTATTGATAGCTTAACTTTACTATATTTTTACTTTTTTCTATTAATACAGTAACTGAGTACCTATAACCCAAATGCCTTACACTTCTCTACTACTTCAATCTAAATACATACAAGCTGTAATGTAACAGATTTAAGTTCGGTTTGTTATTTAATTCATATACATACAAACAGTTAGGAAATTATTTTCCAATAGAAAATTGAAAAAAAGTCTAAAGCTTAAACTCTTTTATTTAATACCAGAGAACTAGGAGATCTGGAAACAGCTCTTCAACGTCCAGTTAAATATGTCTTTTATGAATAAAATAATAAAACCATAACTAAGTTGACTTAGGATAATATTTTTCCATCATAATATGATTTTTACACACAGTTATACACATAGGAATTTAGTAAATATATAAATCGGAGTAGTATTTCCTTAAATTAATCAGTGCTACGAATCTCTAGACAATCCAAGATCCAGACAGTATAATCTAAGTCTAGACAATCTATATCAACCTTTATACATTATTATTGACTTGCAAAAAAATAATACAAATAGAGTTTTCTGATAGTCACTTTAAGTTAAGCTGAAATGAAGATAATATGATGTAATAGAAACTATTTGACTTGTGTTATTTTAAGATTGAACAATTCAGTAGGTATAATCAATCAAATCCTGATAATCATAACATCTGACAAGGCACTAAAGTAGGGTAGGGACATGGTCATTATTCAATAACTTATACTAGAATCGCAAAAGAAGATGTATACTATTGTGCTTCATATTAAATATAATTTTATTAACCCTAAATATCTAAAATAAACTTTTCATCGGGTACCTTACTGAATCCATTTTTTAGTTTATTTTCTGTCCAAACAATATTTACATACATATTTTAGAAAGAATAATGAATAAACTCCTTTTTCGAAGGATAGGTTTCCAGCCTATAGCTAAGGAATAATAACGTACCTATCAGGAATTATTTTTTCCGTGAAACCAGTAATTTTAAAAACAATATTTATAAGAAAATTGAAAAATGTGTTTACAAAATAACGTCTATGAAAATATGTATCTGTAAACTGTAAACATAGGATGTTATTATAATGAGCAAATATTGTACATTTTTTTTTCAAACACTGTGTGGAGTAAGACAGTAAAACAACGTCGTGGGCTGTAACGACGATATTAAATGTTAAAAATGGTTTAATATACATCGCTCTATGCAACTGCATTAAATGTATTTTTTGGTCAGTAACACGAATGGCAATAAAAATAAAAACGTTGGGCATGTTGCGACCCTTTAATGTATTCGACGACACAAGTAAGTAAGTTGTTATTGGAATAATAAATGTACACATTAATAATAATAAAAAAAAAAATTGTCCGAAAATAGCATAAAACCATTCGTTGTACCTTAGGTAATTGAATATGTACACTTATTGACGTATAAATAAATAGAAAATCAGATTTTAGTTTTTTATACGAAAGTTTCTAGAGAATTGTCACACAGCTCAAGCCAACGGAAGTGTTGTTATGTTTGCTACCATGCAGTCCCGCGAGATTAGAAGTTTTTTAAACCGATTTTTTCATAGCTCAGTGTCTCAACCGATTTTTCCATTTCGTATGCATATAAATCGTAAGAAATTCAACCAAAAATGAGAAATGTCTAACAAATGTCGACAAAATAAAAAGTGGGTAAACAAAAGCATGAATTGTGAAAAAGAGATTTGTTTTCTAAACTGAAAACTTCTTAAACAATTTATTGAAGTATAAAGATCAAAATTATTTTTGAACCTTAATATTTTACCTACAATGGATTTTAAATTTTCCATAGTAGAATACAATTATTTAGAACTAGCATTGATTTGTGTTTAAATTTCTAATGCCTTGTGATTATAAGTAAGATAAACAGTAACATGTATTTTCAATATAATTACTAAGATGATAATGTTCACTAATGTGTATGATGCTATTTATATGACTTATAATAAGATACTTAGGATATTAAACTTAAGAATATTTTTCTAATTTATTTTCTATATAGCCAAACTTAAAAGTGATAATTCGATAATAGAACACATCATTTAATGTTTAATTATACAGTATGACTTCATCACTTCATCAGCTTAGAAACTAAATAATTTTTAATTAATTCAAATTTCTATTAGAGTATATTATAAAAATGCATTTTAAAATATTGTAAATAAATGCATTACTGTACTTTATAAACTAACTTAACCTATTTTAAATAAAAGTTAATTAGCAAACATTGACGATTTCAATGAACTATTTTTTTTTAAAATTAATTACAACTATTATTGCGATAGACAAATTTATAAAACGGACTTTTAGAAAATATATTTACCCAAATTATTAAAATAATTAATGAATACAATGTACAAAACAGTGATATTTTATTGATATAGTTTTAAAAATGTTTATTATCATGATAATATTAAGTGTAACTTAAAACTTTTGGAAACGTCTCATTGCATTATGTTTACCATACACAAATGTTACTTAAGTTAGGTATGTAAAATAACTGTATGATGGTACTTACTTGTGGTTATTCTGGTGTATAACAAAATTTATGGACACGCTGTCCTGTGACGAAAATGGTTTTCGGTAATACCGACGTCCAATAAAGTGCCCGTAAATGACGATGCCAAAGTCTGACACGGTGTTCAATTCCTTTCGAATGAAGAGCGTATGTAGATGTATTTTCACTCAGGTCTTGTGACAAAAACGCATGTGTTGAATCGGTCGGTGGCCGCAGACCCAGGTATTTATACAGGCATTAAGAGGAGTAGGCTACGTAGGTGTAAAAGTGGTCAATGACACGTTTGGAGGGAGCTGCGATGTGATGATCGGTTATAAATTTCCTACCACGGCTCGATCGCAATATGTAGGTATATACTACAATATATTATATAAATTCCTGCGCGTTTTTTAAACAATTTTTTACCAATAGTTTTTATTATTTTTATTTTATTTTTTTGAGATCCATCGGCCTTGGTTACATTATGATAACATGACCTAGTCATCGTCGTGTGTGTGTGTGTGTCTGTGTCTGTGTGTCTGTGTCTGTATGTATGTGTGTGATTCATTTCTCGGGAACACTCGGGAATGATTTTACATAGTTTTCGAAAGGTCGGGGACACAAAACTCTCGGCCATCGCATTGGCGCCACGACGGGTCGACTGTTCAAATAGCCTGTGTGGATACCTTAAAACTATTTATAATTACCACACAGATTCTTGTATGTATTTGTATCGGTTTCCACATTCCATCATGCAGTATATAGAAAATATGATTATATAACACTTAGGTATATAGTCCGAAATGTACACACATTTGTATGGATTTCACACAAATAGTTTAAACTCATTTAACCGAATGTATAACTCATTGTAAAGGGATAACTATTATTTTATTTGTACTATATTATAGACTTCAGTTATTGAGCATTAGAAACTATGTGTTTAAATTATAAAAATTAAAATGTATCAGTATTTTATGATTTATTGTTATTCATTTCCCCATATTGCTAACACATAATAGAAACTGGGTAACATCCAGGCCCTGCAGATTATAACTATTTCGGGCCCTAGGAACAGAGTTTTAAATGGGCCCCGACAAGAGTATTTTTATAAAACTGTATTTTTTTTCTGAAACAATGTTTTTTATTACAATACAAGCAAAAACTTAATACAATTAAAATTAAAATTAATTATATTTATTTGCTTAAGTTGTATTGCGATATTACATTATGTATATGTTATTATTTATAAATAAACACTATTATGTCCTATGTTTAATTTATCAATTATAACAGCTCTTTATAAAACCATACACAAATATCAATCGTCAAAGTTTGGTATTTAGTTGGATTATATAAATGATAAAAAAAATGAATAATATAACTTTCAATTTTTATAAGTTATTTTACCAATTACGCAGAATTCAAGACTAGAAACCTATTTTTATTTGTAGGCCCCTCTTGCCCGCTGACTAAATCTGGGCAGTTAAACAGTTAAACATTTAAGCAATACAATGTTAATCATATTTAATTTTAATTTTAAATAGATTATACTATATTAACAAACATGATGTTATGTTATAATTTTCATAAAATGTTTTGATTTTTCAGGCTGATATTTTTTCATTTGTTGTTAACCAACAAGGTTCTATTCTAATAGTAAATTAGATGTATCCGCCATTCTACAGTGAAAGTATTCAAAAAAAAATTAAATCAATTCATGTTGTAAAATGAAATGCTTATTTCAACTACCTCAATATACTTAACAGTATAAATCATTTGTATCTTAATATGTATTATGTATTATTATCCAGAAATATAACTAGGATAAAATAATTGTTTATAATTTAAGGGAAATGTTCATGGTCTTCTTATTATCTCCCTTTTTATATGCCCTGTTACTAATGGAATTTTGTATTCGTATGTAATATTTCCTAGACCCTAAAATAGTAAATTCTTATTTAAGAAGGTCATACCATTTAAAAATGTATGATATCCTTATTATCTTTCTGACTTATAAACTTAACCCCGATCTCATTTACTAGACCACAACAAGGTAATATCTTGAGTGCCACAGGCCACACATATCAACAGTCTTAGTAAATCACTTCTCTGCACAATAACATCAATTTCATAAAGGGTATAATTATATAGGTTGGGTTCTGAGCTCCACACATCTCAGATAAGAAAGCGAACAAATCTACATTCTAAAAAAAAAAAATGATGTTGGTTAGGTAAGCCACTTGTCTGACGTAAATAGGTATAGATCACTCAAAAGAAAATTATTGCGAGTGGCAGGTTAAACACAACGATGTAAGATTTAAAACTTTTGATTTATGTTTACTAGTTAACATTTTTCGAAATATAAGAATGAACTATTGAAATTATTATTTATTGCGTTAACAAAGCAATAAAATGTCAAATACCCATGACATTCATTTTTATACCTTTTGTTACTATTATAAAATCCTAACGTTGTTTCTAAATGTAAAAAGCCGATTAATAAAATAATTGTTTAACTCTTTAACACACATGTGTCACAATGAAAAGATTATAACTTTAAATGAATCTATGGGTGAATATTTCTGAATCCTTGATCAATGTTTTATGCCTAGACATATTGAAAGGTTAATTTTTAGTACATTTTTATTGTGTAATAATATTTCAAGATATTAGACAATCTAAATATTGATAATTTATTCAATGCATTTAAAAAGGAAAAATGAACAATGACTGTTAAGTAAACTAGGTGTAAACTTGTGTGAGTCCAAGTTGATTTATATTCTAATTCTGTGCTAAAAAAACATCTATACTTATATATGTATACATAAATATAAACTGCAAGGTATTTTTACTTTTATAATAAGAAGGTACAAGATGAAGTTGATTTGCAAAATATTTTATTCAAATATTTATAGGACAAAGAGTTTCTGGCGATCATCGTAATTTAAATATTCAGTGTTTTTACATTTTATACCTACGTGCATAAATTGTGACAATCGGAAAGTTGATCGTATAATAACATTATGCAATATTAACATTTTTCATACATATGGTCATTTGTGAATTTAAAAACAAATGACTTATTGAAAACGAGATTTATAATAAAAATCACTTTTGAACAATATGACCCACACTTCTGTAGTTTTTTTATAATCGGTTAATAGTTTTAAAATTAAAGTTCTATTAAAATTAACTATGCATTTTGTACCATTTTGTTATTTTTCATATACATGAATGTCTAGGTATATAAATGTACTCTTTACAATATATTTTTCAAGAGTTTATGTTTTTTATGCATTCGTGTTTTTTTACTACCATATGAATTCAGGAGATTCAATAAATTTGGAACTTTCACATAAAGAGATGGGTAGGCTATTTTTAAGTGGGCGTGTTATTTCTATTACATTTTTAAGATATAATTAATGTGCTATAAATTCATTTCTGTTTCTACACGACAGTTTTTTTTTTTATTGTTATTACAGCGCGCTTGTGTCACATTTCAAAGGTAATAGTAATTAGTTAACAAGGATAATTTTTACTCTGAAAGATTCAATTGAAATGAGTTCTCGAAACAGATCGATTAGAAACAAATATATATTAGCAAATAACAAGACATAATTTTCAAATAAATTTAGGTAATTATAGATTTTTATTTTCATATATATATCTTGGTAGCTCTTATACTAATAAATATTTATACAGCTCTTATTTTAAAAAATATTGTTTGTGTATCAAAAGAAAAAATATGGGAATGAGCAGCTACCATCCTACACAGGTGTCTAGTGTAGCTCAATTTATAAGTAGGTAGATCTCTATAATATATATTATAAAAGGTGAATTTCAATTCAATGATAAATTATTTCTAACGAAAAACGATTCTGAGCATAGCCCATATTACTAAGTGCATAATATTTTATTTATATAACAATTTTAGTTAGTTATTTAACTCGTAGTAATACAGCAGCAGGTTGAATCAATTTTTGTCAAAAACATCGAATTATTATAATTAACTTGTGAATCAATACCTAATTGCCGTGGAGAAATTTGTGGTAAAACTATACGCAATAGCATAAAATCAATCTAAATATTTTGAAAATGCAATAATTATAATACTATAAATTTCAAATTCCCACGAATTACATTTTTGAATTAAAAGAAAAAAATAACTGAAATTGTTATTCTTTGTTTAAATAATATCCATTTTTGTCAAAATTTAAATCTGAAATTACTATAAAAAATATTGCAAAAATGTATATTTTAGATTTTTGCGTTTTTAAATTACAATAAAAAACATAAATTGGTTGAAGAAACATCGATATTAAACTTTTTAATATCCAATGTCGTCATAATTTAAACTCAAATTACTCATAAAATGTACTAACTTTTTTTTAATTTCCTTTTAAAAAATTATAAGGAATTTTGTATCAAATTGTCATATTATAAGTGACAAAGTTTAAAATTATATTAAATGTAAACTTCCAACTAATTTGTAAATTGTCTGTATTTTGGTGGACTTTATAAGTATATAGACTTACAAAATAAAAATTACATTTATAAAAAAAAAAATCTGTCTATGTATTTTCGATTTTTTTTTTTGAAAGAATATATAACAAGAAACCTTGTATTAACATTTCAAGGTTTTTTACTTATTAGTTATTAACAACAATTCAATGTTACATAAATCGAAAATTAATTTAAAAAGTTGAAAATTTCAAATATTTATAAATATCACAAAAATAGAGCCAACATTTGAAAATGATATTATTGATTATAAGCTAGTATGAATATTTTGTGAAAATGTCATGTTTCTCTAGTTATTTATTTTTTAATTTCAACAAAAAATCAAATCTGGTTTTGTGTTGAAATTTTCATTTTTTGCTAATTATTTTTTATTTTTGCCGTACATTTTAGAAGTACTGAAAATGTTTACTTTTTACCCTCTGAAAATACTAACTAGAATCAATTTGCAACCAGAAGCCACCCTATGGGATGATTATTGCTATTATGAGACTTTTATGCCGACGCAATAAAGTAGGTACACACACATCATTATAAAACTAACTAATACATTGATCACTTTAGGCTTAGAATCAAATTTATAATAGGTAAATTTTTTTCTATAGCTACCTTCGTACACATTTTTATATAGCCTAGCTTTGAGTAATACTGAGCTTGTGGTCTGAGGTCTAATTACTTAAAACCATTATTTTTATTTTGAATTAATTATTTTTGAATCAAAAA